TTTCTTTGTACTGACAGCATCTCCTCACCACAAGATTTCCTGCACAGAGGAGAAGGTAGTGCTCCCCGGACAAGATAATTGCAGGGAAAGTCAAAGGCAGAAGAAGAAAAGGAAGACCAAACAGAAGATGGTTGGACACCATCAAGGAAGCTGCGGACTTGATTTAGAAGGCCTGAGCAGGGTCGTTAAAGGCAGGACAATTTGGGGGGCTTTCAGCTCATAGGGCCACCATAAGTCCAAGAAGACCTGAAGGCACGTGACAAAGGAGGAAGTCCTCTGCACGCCAATCTTATGGCGGCATCAGAGAGGCTGCAGGGCTCTTCCTCGTTCAGACCCAAGCTTGGAGATGAGGTCCAAGCGTGGAGCCCTTCAAGATGGCGCAGAAAGTACTGCATGGGTTGTATCTGTGAGACCGTAAGAGAAGCGGGAAAGACGCCAAAGGTGAGCTGGACAGACGCCATCTAGGAAGCTGTGGCCTTGGACTGACAAGAGATGAGCAGGGCTGCCGTGGACAGGACCCTCTGGAGGGCTCGTGGGGTCACCACCAGCTGGAGATGGCATGACAGCACATCACAAAACCTCCTCAAGGAGACATTTTCTTTCTGATGCATTGGCTTCCTGCGGGATGGAACAGTTCGCTTGCCTCTGTGGAGGGACAGTCTCTCGCGGGCTCCCAAACACAGCGGCACATCCTGCAAAGGGTGTACCTCAAGGAGAACGAGGTCCTGCTGCCCTGAAGCAGGTGACTCCGAAAAAAGCAAGAGGAGGACACGTTGGGTGTGGAGGGGAGACTTTTGGGGTACTTTATAGCCACCCCTGCTGGGCTCCAGCAGAGCCTGAACTTTGGCAACAGGTGGATGTCCGGCAACTGCAGGAAGGCCTCCAGGTCCCATGCTCCACTGGGGGGCTGCCGGGTCCATTCCGCTCGCCCTCAAGAGGCTGAGCAAAAACTCTCGTCCTGCAACTTAAATCCTTCAAATCTAGTCCGGTGCTCGGGAGCATCAGGGAGAAAGCCCTTGCGCTCTTGTGCAGGGGAGTCCTTCAGGCTTACGTCATGTCTTCAGTTGTCCCTGGGGTGAAATTATGGGATGCAGTGCTGCTCACATTTCCAAAGTCATCTCTTGGGCGTACAAGTTAGAACCGTGGGCAAGAGGGCTGGGAAAAGAGTCAATGCAAGGCAATAAAGACGACCTGGGACACGATCCGCCTGTCCCTGGGATGGAGGAGGTTTCTTACGTCATGTGTGGATCTGCCTTTGTGTGCAGTGGAATCAGGGAAGGGGCCTGAAGCTCCGCCCCCGTGGCTTAAAAGTCACTGAGGATGGGGGGCAGGATCCAGAGATGTTGCCGGCAGGAAAGGCAATGTATTTTGCCTTTTGCCAACAACCAGGGGATCGGAGGCCACTGGGGGCCGCCTCCTGGCCCCACCCCAGGAATAATGGCAAGGCCGATGCACAACTGGCACGACCCCATCCATCGCCCAGAGAAGCAGCTGCCCCATGGAAAGACCATTCACTCGGGTGGAACCAAGGCCAAACTGCCCCCTCCCCTCGCATGTTTTGCCTTTTCGTTTGTAAGGCAGGGCAAGGCAAAGCATTCTGGGAAGGCTGCAGTGCCAGCTGTGGGATAAAAATATAGGAAATGAGCAACCGGGAAAGCACCTGGAACCTCTGAGTTCACGAGCTGGTGTGCCGAAGGAAAACGGGGTCACGAGTCACCCCTTCGACTGGCAGAACAAACCAAAGAGGAAGTACCACTCTGTCCCAAAAAGTATCCGTTTATGGGTCTCCTTGCCAAGGGGCACAGCAAGGACTCTTCCACGAGAAAAACGATCGCAGGACGGTCATCTCCCAGCTGTTTTAAACATCTGCACTGCATTTTAGTTTTTCAGCTCTTAATGTGGCATTTTAGCCTTTCAGCTGGCCGTGATCGGCCCGGTGAGCATTGGCTGTCGGGAGGGTTTTGAAAAGCAGACAAAGGAATGAGCAGTGGCCGATGGCTTGGACTAGCCCGATGGGCGCGAGAGGGCCAGGCCTCCCCGTGGCTACGTGCCATGCCGCTTGCGAATCATAAATAAACCCACCATGCTGAGAATAAGAAGCACACTCTCCTGATGGCCACCGGGACACAGACCTAGGAAGGGAACTGGGCACAGGGCCCTTTGCTCAGGTCAAAGCTGTGGCCTCCCCAGAGAACGGGAGAATAACCCCGGGACTGGCACGCTGCAGTGGAAAGCCAGCTCTTGACGGGAACCGAACAGGGCCGACGTGGAGCAACATGCTCCTGCCCATGTTCCCCAGAAGCTGAGGAACATGGGCCTCCTGCCTCTGATCCTGGGGGTGGCACATTGCCAGCAAGCTCCTGTTAAAGGTGAGAAAGTTTCTTGCCTCCCTAGTTATTTATTCATTCTATTTGTATCCCACCTTTCTTCCTATCAAGGAATGCAAGACAGTTGCATCCTTCTCCACTCCACAACAACCCTGTGAGGTAGGCCTGGCCAAGAGTTTGTGACTCTGACAGGATCTTCCAGTGCAGTCCATCCGTAAGGGAAGGGATCCAGACTCTGGGGGGTGTCTTTGATGCCAGGGCTCTTCTCCACTCCAGTGGCCCAAAACACGCACAGAGTTCTTTCCACCCAACACTCCAGCATCTCACCTACCCACACCACAAAAGTACAGAATTTCCTTGTCACTCGTGTCTTTGTTTGCTTCTCAAGGGTTTAAGCTGTGATAACTGTGTAGAAGTTTCAAAAATGCTTCTTCTAGATACCAAGGCTGTCCCCCCAGCATATTCCAGGGATTAACCCCCGCAGTCTTGGGGGTGTGACCCCCCCCCCCAGAGAACAAAGGTGAGTGGCGGATGCAGCACCCCTCCGAGCTGGCCATACAAATGGAGGGAAGGCGGCAGGGGGAAGGCGGCCTGGTGTCAGCCCAAAAGGCTCACAGGAAGCCACCTGAGATAAGCCAGGGGTCAGAAAGCAGGAGGGGAGGCAGAGAGGCAGGGGGACCCCCTCAGAGGAACATTGCTTGCGCACAGCTCTGCTGGAACAAAGCACCTTTTGACAGTCCTACCTTTTATTCTCACAACAACAACCCTATGAGGTAGGACAGACTGAGAGCCTGTGCTTCAGTGGCAGAAATGTGTTCACACCGAAGGAAGAATGTCCAGTCTCATCTCCTCCAGGCATTCTGCTTTTCTATGGGCATCTTCATCTGGGAACATATAAACATGAAGCGTTTCTCGGAAGCGACATAATCCTAGGATCGGTTTTCCATTTCAGTTTGCTTGTTGTATTTCCTGGCCATTCCAAGATTGCCACAGTGGTGTGTGGACTAACAATTGCCATTCCTTCAGAAGGACCCTGCAAAGCGGGTTTCTTACACAACCATTTTGCAGAAAGTGAGAGATACTAGCAAACTGCTTCTAGGAGGGGACCTGTTAAAACTTTTGCTGGGCCCCTTACGGGAAAGTGCTTAGATATTCATGATTTCCACAACTGGGGTTCACCAAAACAGTGTGTGGCATCCCCGAAGCCTGGATTTTAGGCCAAGAAGACTTTAGAAGCAACTGGTGATTTTTTAAAAGCTGTTGGCATTCCCCAGCCCTTCCCCAAAAGTGGGAGATGAAGGAACGCAAGGAAGGGAAACGGTCACTGTCCACCATTGGAAAGGAACTGCATGTTTAAAAAATAATCGCGTTGTATTTTAGGCGGAACACCCTGTTGAGTTATTCAAGACAGGCTGTAAACAAGGTAGCAGAGCAAAGTGTATCAGACGGGGTCAGCTGCCAGGCTGGGAAGAAGAGAGGCATTTCAATGGCACCGAAGTTTAGCTCTCGACTGGGGGCCCATTCATTCCGTCCTCGGATCCAGGCAGAAAGCACCCTGAACCTCACCTTGCCCTGCCAACCTGCCACCCAGTTTGGAAACGTGCGCACAATACCCAAGCAAGCCCCGCTCAGGGCCGGCTGGGGTGCCCGGGGCCTCAAAATGGTCCTTTTGGAAGCAGCACTGCAACCAGACTTGATTATGAAGGTTAAGCCAACACAAAGAGAGAGAAAACGATGTTTTTCTCCATCTCTCCTCCTGCTCTGACTGCATGAAATAAACCGGAGTTTTTCTACTTGGGTGCAGAGCAGGCAGTCCGTATTTACTATGCGTACAAAAGTCAAATTATTTTCAGCTCAGAGGCCATGGTCAAAAGGGGGTGGGGGGGGGTCCATTCATTTCACTCCACGGACCAATTGCGTTGTTGCCCTGTTGTTGTTGTTGTGGATGTGAAAAGCCCGGGAGCTCACCAAAATGTTGGATCGCATCGGCTCGTCCTGCAAAGAAGGCTTTTCCAGACCGTATCCAGAGGAACCGAGGAGAAAGCCGAGGACGCTGCCGGGGCGGGAGGGATCCCCTCCAGCCTCTTGAGCAATCAACATACCTTGCAAAGAAGCGCTGCATGAATTTAAGGGCCGGGGACACAAATATGTGCAACACACACACACGCACACACACACACAGAGCCCTCCTGCGCCCCCCTCCCTGCCTTGCCGATTCTCTTTGTTGTCCTGAACGGATGCTTTCCTAGTTCTCTTTTTGAACCCCCCCCCCCGGCAACTTAACCCTTCCCATTCCTCTGAAAAGCTAAACTTAGCAATGCACCAGGGTGGGGGCGGGAGGGGGAGAAGCTCCTCGCAGCCCTTTTCATCCATGTACATCTTTTAAAGCAAATAAGATGACTAGACGGGGGAGGGGAAGAAGGGGGCGTGTTTGTGCAAAAACTCAAGCTCTCTTTCTATCTTTCTGGCTATATATAGGTAGCGCGATCGACCCCCATTGAAGACCCCACCGGGGCGGTGCAATCCCTTAAGGACTAGGTGAGCAAACCGGGAAAAGTGAGCGTGCGCGCGCGCGCGTGTGGGGGGCGCCACAGCCCCTCCACTTCTGCCCCCCCCCCATCCCTTTGCAACACATCGCCGTTCTCATTGTTGTGGCTGCCAAGGGCCCCCTACCTGGTCTTGGAGGAGAGGAACGCCAATTTGATGAGTCCGTAGGTGAAGTGCTGGATCCGCTCTCTGGACACACTGGCTACTTTCAACCGGTGCTCTAAAATGTGCAATTCCATTTTTTCCTTTTTGTCATCTGGAGCGCATCTGTTTGTATTCTCTGGTTTGTTGTGTGTCCGTCTTCTTTGTCAACGGGGTATTTTTCCACCCTCTTCCTTTTACGTCTCCAGCGCAGGCAGGGGAGGGGGGGGGGCGGGAAAGAAATGACTTTGGGAAGGGGCTGAAAGATGGGCTGGGGGGCGGGGAGGGAGAGGGCGCAAGGCAGAGGGGGGCGAGGACGGGGCGAAGTGCAGGGGAAGCCGGGGGGGCGGGGGCGGCGCAGCAGCGAAGGGGCAGAAGCAGAGAGGAGAGTTGGCAGAGGAGCTGCTACTGTTCCACAAGCGAACAAACAACTTGCCACTCAAAGCGAGCTACCCTGGGCCTGCGCGCGGGAGCAGGGCGTCCTGGGAGATGTAGTCCAGGGGGCGGGGCGGCCGGAGGGGCTCCTTGAGCTGAAGGAGGGGGGCCACAAGGGCTCCAAGCGATTTGCAGAAGCGGAGGACAGGAGAGAGAGAGAGAGAGAGAGGCTGGATTTTGCAGGATTTCTGCAGGACTGGGAAGGGTTCCCTTCCCTGACGTAGGGCTCGCAAGGGGGTTTCTGGAGTTTTAGAAAAATACTTTACTGGAATTTTGTTTTTGCAATGCTTTAGATGTATTTTCCATGCCAGCGGTTTGTCAAAAGCGCAAGAGCTGCAGAATCCTCCTGACAGAGTGGTTATGGGACAATTCTTGTGGAGAAGCCATCCATCCTCCTCGGTGTTCCATGGGATTTACTCCCAAGTAAGTGTGTAAAGGACGGCAGTGTAGGCGGCTCACACAAGCAGGAGTCTCGGTTGCTGGTGCCACATCTGGGCCTCTTCTGGTGTGCCGGACGGACGTCTGAAGGACAACTCCCACCAGCCAAAGCTGAGGTGTGGAGGGTGAACTGCAGCTGGGTCATGAAGGAAGCTGCTGGAAGAAACGGGATGCATCCAAAACACGGCGCTGGAGGGGGGCTTTGCAAAGCCCTCGGTGGGCAGAAAGATGGGCAAGGGGATCCCAGGGGAAATCAAACCAGAAGATTCCCTAGACGCCGAAATGGCAAAACGGAGACTGTCCCACTTTGGACACATCATGAGAAGACCAGATGCCCTGGAGAAGGCAGCCATGCCAGGGAAGGCCAGAGCAGAAGAGGAGGACCGCAGGGAGAGCGGCTGTCTCGTCACACGAGGCACGGCCTGCTTTCACAAAAGCTGAAGAGCGGGATGTTTCTGAGGCACAGAAATGAGAGATGAGGAGCCAGTAGCATGTAGCAGAAAGCAAACCTGGCACTCATGGGCGAAGACAATAATGCAAGGGCAGCTGAAAGCAGAAGACCAGGAAGGCCCCCGGGAGACGGATCGGCTGCATCAAGGAAGCTGCAGTCGCGCGGGCAAGAGCTGAGCAGGGCTGTCAGACCAGATAGCTTTGGAGGGCTCTGATTCATCAGGTTGCCGGAAGTTGGATGGCTGGATGGCACAGAACATCTGCCGCGTCTGCTGCTGGCCCAGAATCGGCTCTCAGGATTCCCGTCGGCCGGGGAGGGGAGTCAGGGCACGACCCCACCCCCACTTCTCCATGCTGATGCAAATGCATGGCTTTTATATCTATCAATCAATCAATCAATCAATCAATCAGTCAGTCGATCAATGAAGCATAGTGCTGTGGTTCTCCTTTTGTTTCACTTTGTCTGGAGTAGGAGGGGAGGCGAGGAAATGCCCCGAAACCTGATCAGGGGGCTCCAGGCTAGTCCGGTCGTGTCCGGCAGTGGGACATGCCCTGTTTTGTATTAGCCACGTTAGCCACAACCAACGGCCTGTGCTTTTTTAAAACTTCCACTACAGTACCCATCACACCCCATTCAGTGGCTGGCTTTATTTACTGAGTTATTTGAAGTTTGTGTATGCTGTCCAATACTAAAGTCTCTGAATGGCTTACAAAAAACAAAACAACCACCTACAACAAACAGCGCAAAATGCATCTGATAAATGATGATAAAATCAAAGATAAAATTAATCAACTGTTAAAATAAAAGGCTCTCTGCCTGACGCCGAAAAGAAGAAACAGCCAGCGCCAGGGAAACCTCCCGGGGGAGCGTGCTCCGCAGTCGGGGCACCACCGCCGAAAAGGCCCTTCTCTGGGTAGCTACCTTCCTAATTTCCTTCAAGGAGGGCTCCTGGAGAAGGACCTCTGCCTCCGATATCAGGGGCACGCCGGCACATAGGGAAGGAGGTGCCGGTATCCTGGTTGGTGCCTAAAGGCCTCCAGAAGTTTTCCCTGATCTTAAACCTAGCAGAGATGCTGGCCAACTTCACCGCTTTCTCTGTTACAGGAATATTTGTGATGTTGACTGTGGAAGGATCTTTCCCTTCCAACATGAGGCGTTTGAGGAACGTGTCTATCTCAGCACAGATGAAATTTCCAGAGCAAGCTGGAGCGCCTGGCAGCAACCCAGGGCCAAAAATGCTTTCACCAAATTACTCTGCAGCCCGCCCACTTCATTGTCCCCGGCCTTTTTGAACAAAGCTTTGTGTTTGTCCTTCGCTTGGCTGGCTAAAAGACTCAGAAAGATCTTTGTACACAAAAGTCCTTTACAAAAACACGGGATGTGTGTATCTGGCTAATTTGTCACACACAAGTTTATTAGAACAATTGCAGGTTGCACGGTGGGAGTTTTGGTTTTTCAAAGCGGTGAATGTGTCAAATGTGTGGCACGGTGGATTGGTACTTTTAAAAAAATTGCAATGCAGTGAATTCCCTCTCCGATCTCCACTCAGACAAAACAACAGCAAAAAGCACCCTTTGAAATTTCTCATCTGCAAAACTGAATGTTGCTGTACATACTCTGAATGCTTAAAGAAAATGACAATGGCATGATATTATCAGATGATAATATTTGATCCTAGCATATGCAGTGTCTAATACTGCATAATTATTATGTGAATATTTCTTTCTCCAAGCAGTCTGTGAGTTACGTCAGGTCAAAAGTCACTGCTTTCTTATTTGCCCCAAGAAGAGTTTGAAAACTTGTTGCACATGATACTCTGCCCCCTGCTGAGCTTCTGCATTTGATAGTTCTCATATTGGTAGGCAAGGACATTTAGTAAGCCATGGCAGAACTCTGCACATGTTCAGATGCACACAGTGTGAAAAAAGTCTAGGTTCAACTCTCTTTTCTGCACTATTTGTGTGATGGTCCTCACCAATCTCCCAGCACAGCCTCTCTTATTTTCTGCTTTTTTCATGGTTTTGTTTCCTGCCTTTCCATCCAGTGATGCTCCAGGCTGTTCACAAAGATGACTCTAAATCACATCACGAGATTAAAATTGCAACAAAGCAAGCAAAAGCTGACAGAGGTGGCGAAATAGAAGAACAAACCAGCTAGCTAAATTTAGAAAGTACTGCTGAAGCAAAGGAGTTATCCAAGATGGTGGAAGCTCTTTAAGGGGATGTGGAGTAGATCTCTCAGGGAAGGGAGTTTCTCAGATTTTAAGGCTCATGTAAGGATGATAGCATCCTCTTTTGGGATGTGAGGGGCATCTGCATCTAAGCAGAATTTCCATGTGAACTGCAGGTGTCTAGAGCCGAGGCGGAGGACAGTTATGTCTTACCCAAACATGTGTACATCTATATTTTTTTTTTAAAGAAGAGGAAGATTGCTCAAGATCTCAAGGAGAGCTCCTGAACACACGTGCTGGTTGGATTGGACACTTGGATTCAGTTATGGTTATACATTTGGATGAAACACTCCTTCTTTCCATACTCAAAACAATCTGTGCGATCTTTTTACTCATTTAATCCTGAGCCATTTGATTGCTCAATCAATTCAATAGCCTCTCCTTCCCCTTTCTTAATGAAATAACGAGAAAAGTACTGGGATATCCTAAACCTTTGACACCGTCTCTGCAGCAGAAGAATTTGGAGCTTGCGGCTGTGTCAAAACTTTCTGATTGCACTGGAAGGCGCTTGCAAGAAATGCAAAAGGATTCTCTTTTCAACATCACTTGTGAATCGACCAAGAAATCATGTGGCCCTTGAAGCACATGATTTATGTCTTCATAAAGCTCCTTGGATTTCAAGGAAGCTGATTTTAATAAATTCAGAACACTGAGCACAAGCTAAGTAAAAGCCTGCAAACACCCATGGAATGAAACCCACTCAGCCAGCAATCTTTGTTCATGTCACATGCAACAGCACAAGAAATAAAAATAATAAAAATAAAAATGAAAGCCTGCTGCATATGACACCGAAGAGGGACAAGAATTTGTCTTGCACTTGATTCCACAATCAGGCTGGGCACATTTGGCAGGAGTTCAGACTCACAGCTGGGAAAAAACAGGCCGAGTTGGGACACCAAGCCAACCCTTCTGACTCCCAGGAGGCTCCTTCTGACTCGCGCTGTTTTCTGTGTTTCTATGTTTCTACATTCAGTGCTATATAGAAACACAGAAACAGAGCGAGGCAGAAGGGGTCTCCCGGGCCATCTAGTCTGACCCCCGGCTCTAGCCGGCTCCGCTCGCGACATGCCCACCACGTGCATGTCCAAATATCATAGCAAATAATCATAGCAAACACCTTAGAAAACAGAATGAACTTGATCTCCTAGACCTAGAAGACTGGGGACAGGGTAAAAGAATGGAATTCATTGCAGACAAGTGCAGAGTTCTTAAGAAAAAATAGCTCTCAGAGGAATAAGAGGAGGGTGTAAAATGTCTCTTGGGGTTCTAGTGAATCAATTCATGTCTACAAGAAAAGGTAAGTGCACGATTAGGATCTGTCAGTAAAAGTGAAGTTTCAGGATCATGGAACGGGATAATCGGGTTCTACTCTCAGCTGGACAGATCACAGCTGGACTACCAGGTCCAGTTTTTGGCACCTCACTGTAAGAATGATCCAGATAAATTGGAATGAGTTCGGAGATGATCCTGGGGCTAGAAATGGAGTCCTGCAAGGAAAGATGGAAGGCGCCTGATCGACTTAGTCTTGAGATGACAAATGGTGGCGCCGGATGTGATTCAGGTCCTAAACTGGGTTGTCCTACAGAAGCGGGATGGCTACATGCTTTTGTTTTCATCATCCAAGAATGGAGGGCATGAAATAAGGCTTAAATGGCAGGAATGCAGATTTTGGCTGAGCACCAAGAAAACCTTCCTTCGGGCATGGG